AATCTAGACGGTTGTGTTGCTTTATAAAGGATAATCAATTATTATTTTACCTTTCGAAATTTATTGACCAATTATTATTAAAAAGATAATCCATTTTTTGATAGAGATGGAATGTAAGTATGATAGTTATCACAATCGATGTATTAACTGTAGTTATTAGAAGTACTTACAGTTTAACTAGTAAAACCCAATGATATTTTTCATATCAGCATATTTAAAACATTTGTAATAACAGAAAAAAACAAAACCAACGATGACATAATGATTAATATTTCAAAAGATCACATATTTCAGAACTCATAAACCCCTGGCAATAAAGTTTGAGCATTAAACCTAATCCCTTCCCCTCTAAATCCCCGCATAAAACGCCCTCGAACCACGAATCCTAAACTCTCCATCATTCCAAAAATAACAAGGGTTGGAAAAGATCTTTCTCTCTTCACCCTTTTCCCAGAGAAGATTTAAGGAGAGGAATGGGAGGGGACTGATAAAGGGAGTAATGAGGAGAAATACGCTGGTGAAGCATTCGTCAAATAGTTATATTTATTTTCCTTTCCGCCTTCCCCTGCAGCGTCTATCCCTGAGTGCAACAAAGGCCAGGGACAACTGCGCTTCGAGAAGATCACTGGCACGGCGCTGGCGAGAAGCCCCCTGGACAACGACGTGGTGAGTTGCCTGTCTTCTAGTTTTTTTTATTATTGTTATTATTATTATTATTCTCTTCCTCCTCCTCCCTCTCCGCTTTCTTACCCTCTTAGGTCCCTTTCTCCTTCTTCCTCTTCTTTTTATCTTTCTTTCTATCCCTCCTTCTCCTTCTTCCTTTCTTCTTTCTTTTCTTTTCTTCTTCTTCTTCTTCTTCTTCTTCTTCTTCTTCTTCTTCTTCTTCTTCTTCTTCTTCTTCTTCTTCTTCTTCTTCTCCTTCCTCCTCCTCCTCCTCCTTCTCCTCCTTCTCCTCTCCTCCTTCCTCCTTCTCTTCTCTCCTCCTCCTCCTCCTTCTCCTCCTCCCTTTTCTTTTCCTTTGGCCGACTTTTCTATCCCTTGTCCGTGCATTCACCGCAGCCCCGTCTCTCCCTCCAGATCCGCGACACCAAGATCCCAGCCAACGTCGCCGCCGTCTGCGCAACGCGATGCCTGAAGGACAACACGGCTCAGCAGCAACTCAGCAACGGCTGCACGGCCTTCGACTTCATCCCCGGCGTCAGCATAGACTACTACAACTCGAAGAACATTACGTTTCAGGAGAGCAAGTGCTTCCTGACGCGCCAGGCGGACCCGAACGTCCAGCCCAAGTACGAGGACCGGCGAGGCACGTCGCACTTCAGGGAGGTCTGCTACTCCGGTGAGTCGGCGGTCGCTCGCCCTTCTTCGGCCTTCTCTTTCTCCTCCTCCTTCTTCTTCTCTTGCCCCAGGCGAAATCATGGGTCATTTATGTGTAATTATGTATGATGCTTGTTTAACGTCTGAGATCTTAATACTTACATAGCAAGAATTAGTAAAACACGAAAGAATCCTGGTCACAGCGAATGTCATTTTGATTTCGCTACCACGAACAAGCTTTACATTTTAGCTTTGAATCTGAACTGCGTCATTCAGCTATTTCCTAGCAAAACACTGCCTGGAGAATGCCTTCCTCATGCGTCGTTGCTTGCACAGCCTCCACCGTGAGGAGCGAGTGTCCGACGCGCATGTACGTGATGGAGCGGGTGAGGAACCACCACTTCGTGCCCGACAACTCAGGCCGCGACTTCAAGTTCCAGACGAGCGAGGACTGCCAGAACAGGTGAGGAACCGCACGCATGCACCAGCGCCTGCAACGGAGGAAGATGAGCGCGGCTAAAAGGGGTCTGAGGTCAATTTCGTTGATTATATATTGTCTTGATTTAAACTTGATTCAACCAATTTCATTAAGTTGATGTGATTTACCCTTTCATCTATAAGATAATCATCGATATCTTCACGTTAATGCAGTATAATCATGATATGAGAGTGCATGAACGTGATTCTATCGATGCTCATGTTGCAGATGAAGATTTAAAAGACAAAATATTTAACAATTGTCGGTCAGTTGTCCTGAGACCCCCGAAGGTCGCACATTCTCTCTAATGTAGATGCGACAATATACTCTGTGGTCGCGCCGCCAGACCAGAATCTTCTGACTTCACATAAACACAAATATGTGTGTGTAGTAACGCTTTTCTCACTTCTCTCTCTCCTCCCCCCCCCCTGGCCAGCTGCCTTAACCAGTACGCAGACGAGAACCAAGCCAGCACCTTCGTCTGCCGCTCAGCCACCTACGACAAGACGACCGGAGACTGCTTTCACTCGCAGTACACGAGGCGTACCCACACGGATAAATTTGTGCCCAACGCAAACTTCGATTATTACGAGAATACCTGTCTTTCAGGTAGGTTTATCCCTCATTTGCAGAGCTTAGAATCATCCCATTAGTTTTTTCTTTCTTTCTTTGCTCCCTTCTTCTTTTTTTCATATCAACAGGAAC